TCGCGATGCTTTCGGGAAAAAAACTGATGAAGAAAGGGTTACGAGGTTTGGGCTAAGGCTGGTTTACTTGCTTACTTATTGGCTTACTTACATAATTATGTATTTATCTCTGATTATGTACTCATTTATATCTATCTTTCTTTGCTAATTATATATATATATATATATATACATGTATGTGTGTATATATATATATAAAGGTATGTGTCTACGGGCTTGCCAGGAAAGAAGCCAGTGAATACCAACCGAGGCCTTCTCAAAGTTCTCCCCACTCTTCAGGCCACGACCACCCGCCACGACTCGGCTAGCCTCATTCTGGTTTAGGGTTTAGGGTTTAGGGTTTAGGGGTTAGGGGTTAGGGTTTGGGGTTTAGGGTTCAGGGTTTAGGGTTTAGGGTTTAGGGCTTAGGGTTTAGGGTCTAGGGTTTAGAGGGTTCCTTCAAGGGATCTAAACGGTTTCTATAAGGGTTCTATAAGGGTTCTGGTTGGGTAGTTCTCTAAATTAGGGCCCCATGTTGGGTTGATTTGAGAAGGGTGCCGTACCATGTTGGGGACCTAGAAAAGACCCCTAACTTTTTAGCGAACTACCCATTTAGATATTGGGTACAGGATTGAGCGACCCTGTGCTTAACAGACTTACGAGCACGCGTCCGAGGAAGCCCTTCAAATGCCAACTCAGCATCATCGAACGGCCAAGATCCTTACACCGCCTCTTGGCACCACAACAGAGTGATAATACAGGGGCCTTAATCATTAGAATAGGGCTTTGGGGCATATTATACTATAATTATAAAAAGGAAGCCCCAAAATAATATGGGTAATCCTTAAGCCCCCTATATTACTTCGCGAGCCACGGATGGGTCTTTGCTCAGGCAAAGGCTTCCTGGAGCTTGCAAGAATGGCCGGAGCATAACAAAGTGACGGGAAACTCCCACACCCATTGATTCTGGAATAATATAGGTGCCTAAATAAGTACCAATACTATTTTGGAGGGTTCCTTCATACGACTATAATATAGTGGGCCCAAAACCCTACTATAATTGTTCAGGTCCCTATATTACCTGTAGCCGTAGCCGCAAACACCTACCGTTCTAGGGCTCGTTATCAGCTTTTTGGGCCACAGGTAGACCGGATAGAATCACACTCAGAAACCCAACAACTTAAAGCAATATAGGGGCCTTAATTAATAAGTAGAATAGGGTTTGGGGGCCCCCAAAACCCTCTTCTAATTACTAAGGCCCCCCAAATTATATTCCTTCGGCTTGGGAGCCTCCAGGATGAAGGCGCGTTTAGGGCTTAGGGCCTTCAGGGTTCAGGGGCTTAAGGTGGGTAGTTGTCAAAATTATGGTCCCTTTGGGGGTACTCTAAATAATAGGTGCCGTATTATAATACGGACCCAAAAAGGGACCATAATTTTGACAACCACCCAGGTGGCCAATAGGGTTTAAGGGTTTGTTTGTAAGTGCAGTGAGGCGGACTTTACGACCATCCCAGCCACATCGGGCCTAGACGAAAGGGCGAAACAGGCCTGATTCAATAAGACCACCCGCATCATCAGCAGTCGTCACACCCCCTCATTCTCAAGCGTTTACGCACGAAGGTTTAGGGTTTAGGGCTTCGGGCTTGGAGTGTGGAGTGTAGAGAGAGTCGCATTCATCCGGCCTTCTAATTAGAATAGGGTTTTGGGGGGTTCCTTATTATAATTATAGTATACTATACCCCTAAACCCTATTCTAATGATTAAGGCCCCTATAGTATGCAGCCTACCTGCGGATCTGGCGGGTGGCTTCTTCAACTTAGGGTTTAGGGTTTGGGAGGGTTTTAGGGTTCACAGCTTAGGGTTTGGGAGGGCTTTGGGTTTTATTTTAAGGTTTAGAGCTTAGGGTTTTGAGTTTGGGAGGGTTTAGTGTTCAAGGGTCTTTAGGACAACGAATGTAACACTGTAGTACTTACTGAAGGTCTACCGTGGGCCTGAACCCTCCACCCGAAACACTGAAGCCTAAACCTTGAGCCCTGAAGCGAACCCTGAAGCCTAACCGAACCATTAAAGCCTCCACCGTAGATGTTGAACCCTATCCCTAAAGCCTGAACCCTAAACCCTAAAATCCTAAAAACTCAACTGCAGCGCAAGTGGCGCTGTTGAGCTGTGGTTTGTCACTCTGGGCTTCAGAGTCTTTCAGCCACTCAATACCTGGAAGCACAGGCTCAGGATGTAGGGGTTTAGGGCTTCGGGGCTTTAGGGGCTGGAGGGCTTTAGGGCTTACGGTAATTCTAGGGCTCTTGTAGGGATATGTAGAGCCCTTTGTTTTGCGCCGTGACGGGAGAGCGCGACTGCATGATGGACAACGCGGCGCTACTCACGGGGTAAGCCGGGCTTCCGTCGTGAGGAATGTAGGGTTCTGGGTTTACCTGGACGCCAAAGAACCTACCTTTTTTTAGGGTTCCTTACTATAGTTTCTTTATATACGTCCTTAAAACGGTAGGTTCTTTGGGGGTTTAGGGCGTAGGATCACCATGAGACGCAGTAGTTCTGAAGGTTGTATCGCGGAGTCTTGGTATCCCAAACTGTGGCACACTTGATGACCCTACTCTCACTCGCGTAATCCCAACATAACCTGCATCCGAGTTCGATCAAGCCTGCGACACAGACTAGCGGTTCAACCACTGTCTCCTTCAGCAAGGTTCCGGCCGCATTTATGTGCATCACCGTGCGCCCGATTGCAAGACTCTCCTGCTTGGTGGTGCATCCCTGCAGTTCGTCCCGCATCGATGTCGATGCACCAGTATCCAGCAGGCCCGTGCTATCGGCGAGGTCGTGCTCCATATTCTTAGCATTCAGCGCTTTGAGTTTCAAGGAACGAATCACCTCCGTTGCTTCTTTGAGAAGCTCTGCCGTAGTTTTGGAGGGTTCGGCAGGTTGTGCACTGTCCTTGCCTCCTGGCTAACCTGCCCTGGTCCTGTACGCGAGGCGTAGAGCATGAGTTTTAGGCATGGACTATGGCTCCGCAATCAGAGTCAGTTCAGTTCAGTGGTCACCGCATCTTGAGCTTCGGGATTCAGGCGTTTTTTTCTATGAGGGCCCTGTTCGTCTGCACGAAGTTTGCCTGCCCCAGTCGAATCCCCACTCGGGCGAGAGCATCTGCAGCCACCTACTGGGCTAGCGAAAAAACTCAAGAACTTCGCCACACTACCGCCAATCAGAAGCCACCCTCAGGCGGTTTAGGGCTCAGGGTTTAGGGTCAGGTTCAGGAGATAAGATTGCGGGCTGCATCTCTGAACCCTAAACCGTAAACAAACATGTTCATATTTGGGCACCCTGAACCCTAAGCCCCTAAACAAAAAGCATTCATATTTAGGGACCCTGCACCCTAACTGCCCAACCCTAAACCCTAAACCCTAAACCAAAACCTCAAAAACAAGTGTCTTGTTTTAGGGGGCCTCACTCTAAAACCCCCCACGAAACCCTAAACCCTGAACCCTACCTCCCCCTTCCCCTCAAAAAAACCTAAACCCTAAACCCTACCTCCTCCGCCCTCAAACAAGAATCCTAAACCCCAAACCCTAAGCCTTCACCCCAAACCCCAAACCCTACCTCCCCCGCCCAAAAAAAACCTAAACCCCAAACCCTAAACCCCAAACCCCCCCAAACCCTAAACCCTAAACCCGAAGCCCTAAACCTTAAACCCTAAACCCCAAACCCCAGACCCTAGACCCTAAACCCTCAACCCTAGCGTAGGGCCTTAATAAATAGAATAAGGTTTTTGGC